ATGGCGCAGGCTGGGCAACCAGGCCGCGCATTCCGCGGCTAGAGCTGACGGCGACTGTCGCCCTCAGGCCACGGAGCAAGGGCAGCGGCTTCTCAGTTGCCCATCCGTTTTGTCAAGACAGTTTGAAGCTTTGCGGGGGGATTCTTGCACCGCTGGCCTCGCCTGGATCTCTCTGGGTGCTCATTGGTTGCGCCCGACAGGTCCCCTCGTGCGTTGGTGGGCTCTGTCGAGCAAGCATCCTTAGCAGCGAGCATTGCGGTGCGTTGCAGCCTTCCCACAAGTGTGTCTGTAGTTTGTACCGCGCCATTGTTAACGAACGCGATGTTACCACGGCGTGTGCGTCTGCTTGCTCACCGGAGCCAGAGAGCGCCGCTGTTGATGCTGTGGGCTCAGCGGAAGATGTTTTTCGCGCAGTGGGCGAGGAGGTTCGGTTGGGTGGGGTGGATTCTCGCGCAGCTCCGACGCGCTCTGATTTGGGATTCTTTTTTTTCGCTCTTTCGCAGCTAGCGCGGGCGCGTGGCCGCAGGCGACCTTCGGTGCTTGGTCGATGAATGCGAGCCCGCCAGCAAGAAATTGCGACGTTGTGTCGCCTGTATGGCCTTCGCCTCTTCCCCAGTTATGCGGGCCCTTCGTGGGCGGCGCTAGATGCGCGATTCTCCCGTGTCCGCGCTGGGCCGCGCGATGGCGAACGACGTCGCCGGCGCCGCGCCCTCAGCCCCGATCCTGGGCGGGGGTGATCGCCAGCGCGCAAGTCCACCATGACCACCAATTGCTGAACCTTCACCGGCGCTGGGCTGCCCTCCGACCCAGAAGCGCTGAGCGAGCACATCCAATAGGTCATCTTGGACGCCGCCGCCGCCAGCAGTGCCGCGGGAAATTTTATTTGGAATTGCAGAGACGGAGCGGAACCGCAGCGCAGCCCGCAAGCGAAACCGCAGCCCGGCCAAGGACCAGCACGAATAGACAGTCTGACCATGCAGCGACAGCAGACGCCACATGACGACCACCACGCCCGCAAGCAGTTGAGTAAACTTATGCGGAATCCGCGCGCAGAAGCGGACGACGCGACGGGCCCACTTTGCAAACGTACTTAATCAGTTCAAAGACTTACAGAGTACCCCGCGCATTAAAACACGGGAGAGGCGTAGTCTCATTGCCCGCGTGACAGACCTAGAGGGCAACAAGTGCACGACGCGGCAAGAAATCGCGAACGTCTTCGCGGAGTTCTACGAGCAGTTGTAGAACTCGACAGCAGAGACGACAGAGGCAGAGCGACGAAGTGACGACGCCGCCCGCCGACCCCGCCGACCGCCGACCAGCTGACCGACCAGCTCCTCCTCCTCCTCTTCCTCCTCCTCCTCGTCTTCCCATTCCTCCTCCTCCTCCTCCTCCTCCTCCTCCTCCTCCTCCCCCTCCCCCTTCTCCTCCTCCTCCTCCTCCTCCTTCCCCCCCCCTCCTCCTCTTTCTCCCACTTCAGACCAATCGGCAGACCGACCAGCAGGCCAGCGCGCCAGCGGACCGCGCACCAGACCGACCAATCGACCAGCAGGCCAGCAGACCGATCTACGACTGCCAGCTAGCGGACCAACATGCCCGCCGCGGACCAGCAGACCCACGGACTGCGACAGCGACCGAACGATGACCCCGCCGACCGCCGACCAGCAGACCGACCAGCAGACCCGCAAACCAGCAGACCGCGTGCCAGGGCGACCGGCCGACCAGCAGACCGGCAGACCAGCCCCCGAACGCCGACCAGCAGACCAGCAGGCCCACCCGCGACCTGCGACCAGCAGACCCACCGACTACCACAGCGACCGAACGCCGACCCCGCCGACCACCGACCAGCATACCGACCAGCAGACCAGCGCGCCAGCAGACCACGCGCCAGACCGACCGACCGACCAGCGGGACAGCCGACCGACTTCCGACCGACGGCTAGCAGACCAGCAGACCCGCCCGCGACCGGTGACCAGCAGACCCACCGACTACCGCAGCGACCAAACGACGACCCCGCCGATCACCGACCAGCAGACCGACCAGCAAACCAGCAAGCCAGCAGACCACGCACCAGACCGACCGACCGACCAGCAGACCAGAAGACCAACCGCCGACCGCCGACCAGCAGACCAGCAGACTCACCGCCGACCAGCGACCAGCAGACCCGCCGACTCCCGCCCTTCACGCCGACAGGGCTTCGCAGGGCAATCGAGGGTCTTCGCCTTGGTGAAGCCCCCGACACGAGAGGCGTCCGCGCAGAAATGCTTAAGGCAGCACGGAGGAACTCAGACGTCCACTTCTCCGGCTCTACAACGCCGTCTTGCAATGCGAAACCCCGCCGCCCGCAAGCTTCGAGAGTGCAGTCATCACAGTCGCGCCCAAGGGTGGGGACCTCGCGCTTCCACACAATTACCGTCCGATTTGCGCGGTGCCGCTGTTGTGCAAGTTGTTCAGCCGACTGCTGCGCGACAGTCTCCAACCGACGCTTGACTCTCGCCGGACTGACCACCAGGCGTGCTTCAGACCAGGTCTTTGGATTACTAACCGCCTTTGCACCTTCCATTTGTTACGCGAGAGAGCATGCGAATGGGGTCAAAATCTGTGGGTCGCAGCCTTCGATTTCAAAGCAGTTTTCGATTCAGTTGAGCACGGGAGAATGTGGGCTGCACTGAAGGCGCAGCGAGCCCGACCCGGTTACATAGCTGTACTGCAACAGCTCTACGAGGGACAGACTGCCACGGCGAAGACAGACATCGGCAGCGTGCCCTTCAACCTTCTGCGGGGCACTGCGGGGCGCGAAGCATGGCGACCGCTGGGCCCCCTACTTTGTCGGTGCGCTTCTTCGACGCATCCTTGGTCCGCTTGTGTCCGAATGACAGCAAGAAATGAAGGGGGTGGAACTGGGGCTCGCGAGCGCCGCAACGCCGACCAACCTGCGTTTCGCCGACGACGTGCTCATGACCAGCCAAACTCGCCCGCGTCTGACCTCGATGCTCGACGACGTGGCGTGCGCGGCAGAGCTACGCGGGCTTGAACTGCGCGCGAGCAGTGCTGAAGTACTCAGCAATCAGACGAAAAGGTCCAGAAGGGCAAGCTCACGCACAGCGCGTGTCCAAGACGTGAATATAGAGGCCATCCCATTCGAGGGCAATGTCAAGTACTTCGGCCAACTGATCAGCTTTCGCAAACCGATGGGCGCGGATGTTGAGCCGCGCGTGAGAGCTGCATGGGCATCGTTGGCTTCTCGCAAACAAGATCTTACTAGCAAGTCCTGCCCACTGGCTCACCGACTCCGCCTGTTCAAGAGCACAGTATCACCGACAACGCTACGCGGAGCAGAGACGTGGGCACTCGCCGGACCCCTGCGACAGCACCTGCGACGGACACAACGACGCATGCTTCGCATGATCATCAGAACGCCGAAACGACGCGCGGCAGCGCAAACTGACCCGCTGAGCAGCCAGCGACCGCCAGGCAATGAAGCACCAGACAACGAAGCACCAGACAACGACGCACCAAACAACGACCACTGCAACAACGACACTAGCGACGACGCAGACAGCAACCCACCCCAGCGTTACGCACCTGCCACAACTGACGTTCACAGCGAAGACGGCGAAGTCAGGACTACAACGGACCTGGAGGAACCCTGGGCCCTGGGTAGAGTACATACAGCGAACGACACGACGTACATAATACCTTGGGAAGCTCTACCGCATCGACTATTGGGAGACGGTCCAAAAACGAAAACAATGGCGAATGGCTTCAAGAGTCGCAAACTACACCCGAACACGTTGGACACAGCAAGTGTTGCAATGGCGACCAGACATCAACCCACGGCAGCGAGGACAGAGGCAACACGGTCGTCAACACAAACGTTGTGACGACGAAGTCAACACTTGTCCACGCCAACGCAGACCAGACATTCACCGACCGACCGCACATACTTGCGCGACAGGAGAACCAAACGACATTACATGTATTCAAACAGCACAGGACACCGAAACATGGACGGCGCTCGACCACCACTACGTCGACCCCACACCAGCAGACACCCATAACCGAAACCAAGGACGCGAACGCCCAGCGAGACATCCCACGTCGACACCGACACCAAGGACTTCCTCCTCTTCTTCCCCCTTCCTTTCTTCCCACACAGGCTGACGCAACTGACCCCAAAGACCTTCCTCCCTCCGTCGCTCCTCTCAATTTTTTGGGCGCATTTGTCTCGCAGTGCATGTTGTCCAGACGCCAGATTCCCGAGGCCACGGCCTCGCCCACCCAGTCTTGAGTAGGTCCGGGCGCTGTCCGCAACGGTGGTCGCATCGCATCGCATCGCATCCACAGTCCGTCGTCGCCATGCTGTCGCTAACTTGGTCCCAAGTGTTGTGTGGCCACAGGACATCTCCTCGCAGTCGTGTGTGCCCCCTGACGAGGGGGCGAATTTTGCGAAGCCCGATTTGTCCAGAGTTGTCGCTGCTTCATCTCTTCGAAGAGGACGAGCAGCTTCTCGTGTTTCGGCCACGCACCCCGCCATATTTTGGCGACTTTGACTAACATTGAGTTGGACGTACTGCTCAGCCTAACCTCTCTGGAAGGTCTGCCTAGCTTTGCAGTCTTCCCGCTGCAGGGTTGTCGTGAGCCTTGTTCGCGGGCCCCGCGCGGGTTTCATCACGGGATCCTCTTTAAAATTAATCAGAGTCGTATCTCGACGCTGTCAGGATTTGGCGAGGGCCCCAGGGGCGGAAAATGAGCAAAGCATTCCCGTCGTGACTTCGTCTCATAGCCCGAGGGGCCGAGCGGCCTCAGGGGAGCTACGCTGCGAATGAAATCGCGAGTTCTGATGTCTGGGTTCCCGGACGGCGCCCTCCCCCTCCCCTCCGGCCTCGCCAGCCCCCCCCCCGTGCTTCCATTCGCTACTGATGCGTCCCGCCCGCTGCTCGGATTCATGTTGCCGCCGGCAAGCATGTTCGGGTTCCCGGCCCTCCTTCTCCCGCGCACAGGTCCAGCTCTTCCACCGCTTGGCCGGCGCTTCCGAGGCGGACGCCCAAGCGCCCAACCACACGGCGGTCGTGTCGCTGGGCTACGCCAGTTCGCTGCAGCCGAGCCCCATCTCGGAGGGCGCCCGCTGCCCACACATGCCTGCGTCGAGATGATGACGGGAGGTTCTTGGCCGTTTGTGGCCTCTGGGGTCCCTCGCCAGGCCCCAGGCCCGTCCAAAGACGGCTCGGGATGAGAAGCCGGCCCTGGGTGCGTGCAGGTGGGGGCGAAGTTGTTTTTTATCCATATCCGCGGGGCTTGTGGTACCGGAGAGAAGGAGCCCGAGTTTCCAAGACGCAGTGGATGTGGATAAAAATCTTGCCCGCGCTGGGGACAGGGTTGGGGCTTCTGGGGTGCCAGTGAAAAGTTGGAGGAGGAGGAGGAGGAGGAGGAGGAGGAGGAGGAGGAGGACGAGGACGAGGACGAGGACGAGGACGAGGACGAGGACGAGGACGAGGAGGCATCTCCTGTTCTGCATGTACACCTACGCCGCTTCTGGCTGGGCCGATCCTGGGCTCATAAACATTGGTGCACGTGCCTTCCTGGCCAGGCCACGGTGGCGCATGCACCGATCCTGGGCCCAGGATGGGCCGGGCCAGGATCTGCAGTCCTCGTCGATCAAGCCTCAGTTCTCGACCCTCGATTCTCGATCCCCATCCTCGACCCTGAAAACCCTCGACCCTCGATCCGCGATCCTCGAGGGGGGCAAGTGTAGAGCGAGCGCCCTCCCGCCGTCCTGGACGCGCTCCGGCAGGGCGGGCTGCCCCAGGAGGAGGGCGCCGAGACGCTCGTCAACGGCGACTCGTCCGTCTTCGTGGACCTCGCGAGGGCGTTCCAGCCCCTGCCCGGGCAGGCCGGCGCGGCGGGCGGCGGGGGCCAGGCTCTGCCTCGGAGGAGAGAATCCGCCGGGATGGAGGAGGAGGAGGAGGAGGAGGAGGAGGAGGAGGAGGAGGAGGAGGAGGAGGAGGAGGAGGAGGAGGAGGAGGAGAGGAGGAGGAGGAGGAGGAGGAGGAGGAGGAGGAGGAGGGGGAGGGCGATCCGATGTTCCGGCGATCCGATGCGGCCTGATGCTCGCATGGCGCTGTTGCGCGTTCCCGGCGCAGCCGATCCGATTCGATTTCGATTCCGTGCCGATGTAGGGCACCAGCGTACGTGCCTTTTTTGGATTTCGTCGCGGGTTTCTTGGATAGGCGCCGGGCCCCCCCTGGCGGCGCCTCCAGCGCCGCCCCTGGCTCTCTCCGCGCGCTGAGGAGGGCTGGGTCCAGCGACGATCCATACCTCCGCGCCGACTTCCGAACCTTTCCGCTTGTGCCGTTCGGTTCTTCTTCTGCAGGCCTTCTGGCAGTACACGGGCTCGCTGACGTCCCCGCCGTGCACGGCGGACGTGCAGTGGTTCAGGGCAGATAAAGAGGGGTAGGAAGCAAACCTTCCCGCCCTCGGGCGCCCCCCTGTCCCAGGGCGGCTGGAGAGCTTGCGCCACGACGTGCTGTCGTAGGGGTAGAAACCTTCCTGCCGCCTCCAGACAGGCGCACCGTTCCTCGCCCGCTGACCCGGAGGCTCGAGGATGCGAAGCACCTGTATCCTCGCTGGACGTCATGATCAGATCCCTAGTGCCTATCTTCAAGCCGGGCATGCCCCTCTGCAGGAGGAGTTTTCAAAAATAGTCAAATCAATCAGGGGACGACTTTTGTATGATTTCTGACTATCTTTTGTCTTTCGTCCAGAAAGCCTGCCTGTAGGAGGACATGCCCGACCTAACCCTAGTGCCTATCTTTCTGCGGCATCGACGAGCCGGATCGATCTGGGATGGTCCCGGGGCCCGAACGCGGGCGAAAACGCCAAGCGTGAGAGATTGGCCCGCCTGGGTCTCAGGGAGGTCGGTGCAGGCGCCCAGCTCGGCGCCCTCGGGTCCTCCTCTGCGGCCGACTCCTTACCTGGGGCCTGGGGGTAGCCCCTCGTCTCGGATCCAGCTTTGATGGTTCTGGGGCTGATGTCGGGCCGCAGAGGTCGAAGTCGAAGAAAATCGCTGGCATTCAGGAAGTCATGGATGGCGGTGTGCCGCCCCAGACACTCCCGCGCTCCTACTTTCCAAGTGCGTGGGCCTCTGGAGGTCCGGACGATTTCGCTGGTCCTCCGGCGTCGGTTTTTGACGGTCCCAGGCTCGGGGCCCGCTGAGGGCTCCCGGGGGGTCCGAAAAGCGTCCAACACTGGCCGCTCCAATTTGTGACTCAGCCTCGGATCTCTGGGCCTTCTTCGTCCGCTGGGGTCCTTGCGCGACGTTTGGCCCCGAGCCAAAACTCCGGGTCGGTTTTGGAGGTCGCCGCAGCGATCGCGGCGGCCACAACTCGGGGCAAGGGTTTTATCGAAGAGTGGCCTGCTCCTTCCCAGCCCCCCTCTTGCTCTTCGACGTAGACTTGGCTCATGATTCTGATCTAGTAGCTGCAGAGTGTTGCCAATGCATGTCCAACACGGTCAGTCATGCATTTTGGTTAGGGGTCGACTATCCACGCAGGCAAATTCACTATTGCTTGACATTGACTGTCCTTTTCCTCCTCTTCCCTCTCTTCCTCCTCCCCCTACTCTCTCTCTCTCTCTATCCAGTCCTTCTCTGCGGAGGCAGTCAGCTTCGAGCCCGCGGGGGCTGATGCAGGGACGCAGCCTGACGGACAGAACTGATGGCATCGTGCATGGGCGACGCCCGCACCGTGGGATGGACCTAGCGCAAGGGTGGGCGCTCGCATCGGGCAGTTCCCGAGGCTCCACCTCCACGACCGGTTCCCGGTGCGGTTCCCGCTTCGGGCCCGGTTCGGTTCCACCGCCTGCGGCTCGCTTTGCTTTCGGCTCGCGTCGGGTTTCTGAGGGGCTCCGGCTCCGTCGGTTCTCCCTCGGTCGGTTCGGCTCCGTGGTTCGTGGCTCGGTTCTTCGGCGGTGGACAAACCTCCCTTTAGTAAACCTCCTTGAAGTGAAAACGGCCCGGGACCGAAACCGACGGACCTGGACCCGCAAAAATGACGGCCGTGGCGCCCTCTCGCGAACCGAAAACGGCCCATTCCTGAATCGACGTGCCCGCCCCCGAGTTCTGTGCAAGGGCGCCCTCGAGGGCGCGAAGTTATTCGCGCTTCGCGCTTCGCGAGTCGGCTCCGTTCCTCCTCATCCTCCTCTTCTCCCCTGGGAGGCGGCGCGAGAGCGCGAAGTTATTCGCACTTCGCGCTTCGCGCAGCGCGAAGCGCGAAGTTGGGAGCCCTCGCTGTGGTTCACTGGAGACAGCTTCCGGCAGAGGCTCTCCGTGGCGGGCGCTCTCCGGCCCGTGCCGCTCGGGGAGAGCGAGCTGCTGCAGGGAGGTTGCACCGCAGGGCCTGCCTCGGTCGGGGGAGCGTAAGACCCGGGTTTGCCAGGACTCGGGTTCGCCATCGTTTTTTGACGACCGCGCCTCGGATTTTGACGAGGAGGAGTTTCGTGGGATGTCTGCAGCGGGAGGCCTCGTCAAAATGCGGGATGTCCGAGTCCCCTGTACCCAGGTCTTACGTCCCCCTGACTCGGGCGTGCGCCGGCGCACTGCAGTACAGTTTTTAGCACACAGGATCTTTAACAGTAGGATTTGAATCCAGGATTCATTTCTGAATAAATGGATGCATGAACTTCTCGTTGTTTTCAATACTGAGTCCCTACATTTTTTGATGCAGGATCCGCACGCGGAGCATGTATTGAACACGGCACTGTACGTCTCGGCAGCGAGCCAGGGGGGAAGCACGAGGAGGAGAATGCCTTCTCGGAAGGCGGCGGGGCTCCTCAGAAGCCCTGGCGTCTTCTGAAAAGTCCTTGCCGTCTTCGGGGAAGGCTCCGAAGACTTCTCGGAAGGCCGGGGGACCTCCGGATCGTCCGAGAAGGCCTTCTCCTTGTCATCGCTGCCCCCCCCCTCGCTCGCCGCTGCATGTCCACGCTCCCCCGCCCCTCAAAACTCGAAGTTGGCATGCGCGGGGAAGACTGCGGTCGAAGTGCAACTCATCCAACCCCACGCCAACACTGATCCTTGTGGGAGGGGCATTGGACACATGAATGTGGCATGAGTGTTTGCTAATTTCTGCCGAGGCCTGCACGTCCTCGCGCCTTCCGAGAACTTGTCTCAGAAGGCGGCGGGACTCCTCAGAAGCCCTCGCGCCTTCTGAGAAGTCCTTGCTGCCTTCGGGGGAAGCCCAGCAAAAACTTCTCGGAAGGCCGGGGGACCTCCGCATCGTCCGAGAAGGTCTTCTCCTTGTCCTCGCTGCCCCCCCTTCGCTCGCCGCCGTACAGTCAAAAACCCCAATAAGGACCCGCGACTTTGCTCGGGGTACCCTCGCGTCCTTGCTCCTCCTTGCTCCTGCGTCCCTGAGGTTTTCGTCGTCCGCCGCCCCCGAACCCCCAACTTCGGCTTCCCAGGGTCTTGCGTCCTCACCGCGCGTCCTCATCAGGGCTTTTGACTGCACGCCCTCCTGCGCCCCACGCGAGGTTCGTGCGGAGCTCCCCGCTGCCCGCGCGGCCCGACGCGCTCGAGGCCTACCGCCGGGCCCTGCAGGCGGGCCGGGGCCTGGAGCGGGCGGCCGAGGCGGGCAACGCGCGGGCGCTGCAGCCCTCCTGCGGCGCGCGGCTCACCCGCTGGGCCGCGGAGGCGGCCTTTCAGGACTCGGCCGCCGAGGAGAAGGCCCGGAGGCGGCGGCGAAAGCAGGCCGGGCTCGGGGGCGGCAGAGAGGGGGGGTGGTGGCCAGGGGGGCTGGATGACCATGGCGCCATGATGTTTCCCCGGGTTTCATGGCGCCCCTTCTCAGTTCATTACGTCCCTGGCCCCCCCGCTGGGCCGCGCACACGCCGCCGGTCATGATTTGCACCCCCCCTCTTCGACACCCCCCTCTTTGGCCGCTCCCGACGGACCCGGACATGCTCGCTGAAGAATCTATCCTGGGGAAGGGGTCGAGATCTCTGGGGGCCGACGTCACGAACACAATCATGGCCCAGACATCGGTATCGCTTGAACCGATTCCTATCCCCGTCTCCATTCCCATCCCGATCCCTACCACCCCGCCACCCAATGTGGCAATATGCCCCTCGAAACTCGGAGGGAACAGCCGATATCCCCATCTGGGGGGGTACATCGGCGGGTATTTTCAGCCTGCGGAGGCCCTTGCCAGGCCTCGGGGCGGTCAGAAACGACCAGGGATGAGACACTGGTGCTGGGGAATAGGTTGAGACCTTTGTGGGTCGGCGTCATGACAAAATTAGGACGTCGGGGTCCAGGTTTTAGGCCTATTAGATGGGGTCCGAGCAGATTGGGTCGGAGGATTGCGCTGCATCGCAGATGTATTGGCGATGCGGCTCGGTGTGGAGCCCGATGTTCTTCACGCCGACGGTGCCGATGCATCGCCGACGTCGCCGGTATATCGCCGATGCATCGGCGACGCGGCGCGATCCTCTGGCCCTATCTGCTCGGACCCATCGGGGAATCCTCCGAGGATTTGGCCATGGGGGAGGGAGACCGGGCCCAGACGTGCTCGCGTCGCGGAAGCTGTCACGATGGGGTGGGGTGGGGTTGGCCGCGTGTCGGCGTCAAATGGGGCCCTCGCTGGGCCCCAGGATCGCCCCCCCCCCCGGATCGCCCCCACCAAGCGAACTGAGGAGGAGGAGGGGGATGAGCAGGAGGAGGAGGAGCAGGAGGAGGAGGAGGAGCAGGAGCAGGAGCAGGAGGAGGAGGAGGAGGAGGAGGAGGAGGAGGAGGAGGAGGAGGAGGAGAGGAGGAGGAGGAGGAGGAGGAGGAGGAGGAGGAGGGAGGAGGAGGAGGAGGAGGAGGGAGGAGGAGGAGGAGGAGGAGGCGGGAGGAGGAGGAGGAGGGAGGAGGAGGAGGAGGAGGAGGAGGAGGAGGAGGAGGAGGAGGAGGAGGAGGAGGAGGAGGAGGAGCAGGAGCAGGAGCAGGAGCAGGAGGAGGAGGAGCAGGAGCAGGAGCAGGAGGAGGACGAGGAGGAGCAGGAGGAGGAGGAGGAGGAGGAGGAGGGAGGAGGAGGAGCCTGTCCCGGGGAGAGGGTCGGGGACTTCGGGCGGAGGGCAAGGGGCCGGAGAGCAGGCGCCGAGCGGCGGCGAGCCGCGGGGGGGGGGCCGTGCATTCGGGCGGCCTCGGCCTCTGAAGAGGCCCTCGAGCCCGGAGCGTCAGGGCTCGTCGCTGTCTGGCTGTCTTCGGGGGCGGAAAGGAGGGGGGTGATGACTAGGGGGGGGTGGATATCATGGCGGCTGCCATGATTTTTCCCCAGATTTCATGGCGCCTCTTCTTATTTCATTACGTCCCTGGCCCCCCCGCTGGGCCGCGCACATGCCGCCGGTCATGATTTGCACCCCCCCCTCTTGGGCACCCCCCTCTTGGCCGCTCCCGATGTCTGGGGGCCCTCTTCGTCGCCACGGCTGGGCGCAGATCGAAGAACTGGTGCGGTCGAGCCTCGGGCGGGGTCGGGGGCGTTCTCCGAAGGCGCCACAGAGGCGCCCTTCCAGGATTCGGCCGCAGAGGAGACCGCACAGAGTCGGCGGCGAAAGCCGAGCCATACCCTTGCTGCCCTTGCCGATCGACGTCTCAGGCAATTTAATGGTCGGCGGGGGTAGGATTCGGAATTCGTCGAACGCGTAGCGAAATCCGAACCCATCCCTGCTTTCACCGATTCAGGGGGATCGATGGTTGGTGAGAGTAGGGTTCGGATGGCGCCACCTACGGAGCGCCGAGCTGCCCAGATGTCCGACATGGTTCTCTCGATTCCAGCGTTTTGCCTCGATTTTGGCCTTTGGGGCTCGTTATCGGGCCCTGAGGCCATCAAGAACGGATCTGGGACGACAAACTACCCCGGGGGAGGGGTCGGCCGCGGAGGAGAAGAACTGGAATGCGCCGAGTTTTGCGCCTGCGCCGACCTTCCCAAGGTCTGGGCCTTGCAACATGTTTTGTTGACACTGGGCGTTTTCGCCTGGTTTCCAGCACCGCCCGCATGCGTTACGCACGCCCATTCTGGCACACCCCTCACACGTTTCGCGTCCCCACAGGGAGCCTCACCGAAGGCCCCAGTGCCACCGCCCGCATGCGTCACGCACACTCATTCTGGCACACCCCTTACACGTTTCGTGGCCCCATAGGGAGCTCCACCGAAGGCCCCAGTGCCACCGCCCGCATGCGTCATGCACACCCATTTCGGCACACTCCTCACGCGTTTCGTGGCCCCGTAGGGAGCTCCACCGAGTGCCCCAGTGCCACCGCCCGCATGCGTCACGCACGCCCATTTCGGCACACCCCTCACATGTTTCGTGGCCCCACAGGGAGCTCCACCGAAGCCCCCAGTGCCACCGCCCGCATGCGTTATGCACACACGTTTCGTGGCCCCTTAGGGAGCTCCACCGAAGGCCCCAGTGCCACCGCCCGCATGCGTCACGCACGTCCATTCCGGCACACCCCTCACACGTCTCGTGGCCCCACAGGGAGTCCCACCGAAGGCGCGAGTGGCTGCGTTCGCATGCGCCCAGCGCACCCATTTCGGCGCACACACACATCACACGTTTCGCGGCACCATAGGGGGCTCCACCGACGGCCCCAACGGCTGCATTCGCATGCGCCACCGCACCTATTTCGGCACACCTCTCAGGCGTTTCGTGTCCCCATATGGAATTCCACCGACGGCCCCAGTGGCTGCTTTCGCATGCGCCAGCCGGACAAATTTTGGCACACCCCTCACACGTTTCGTGGCCCTATAGGGAGCTCCTCCGAATGCGGTGCATACAACGACGGTGCTCACAACTTCTCACAACTCGCCAGGCTAATTTGTTTTGCAACGTCGGATCTCACGGCTTGGCTGGGCCGGTGCAGCCTTGACATCCTCGCGCTGCGGAAAGGTCATGCCCGACGTCCCTCCCGCTTTCCCGTCCGCTTCCAACTTCGCCACGTCGTTGCGCGCGTGGCCACGACGCCAAACCGTGTGTGCCTGCACGTTTCTTTTGCCCGCTGGCCCCGCTCACGGACGCCCCCCTCCGTGGGAGTCTCCGTGGCGTGGCTCCCTGCATTCCGAGGTGGGCGGGGATGCCACGGCACACAGCGCACAGCCACCGCCCGGGGGAGCGACCCCCGGGCACCTCCGAAGGCGGCGGCTGTGGGCACATGCAGCCGGGCCCCCTGGGTCAGGTCAGGTGAACCGTGCCCAGACGGCACACTGGTTGCAGATCGCGTGCACGAGCATGTACAGCGGCACGCCGGCGTCGACACTGCGAGGGGCAGGGCGCAACCATCGTCGCGGGCTCCGGCTCCATGCGCAGGGATTCTGTGTACTCGGGCCCTCTGGGGCCAGCGCGCACCGGCCTCCGCCGCCCGCGGGGGGCACAAAGGCGCCGGCTCCCCGGGGGGTGGACCTGGATGCGTCCTCGCGCCTCGTGTGGATGCGGCTCTGGATGTGGCTGCACCCCCGCGCGTGGATACGGATCTGTGCGTGTCGGCGGCGAGCGAGGGGGGGAAGTGAGAGGGGGCGGGCCTTCTCAGACGTCTCGGAAGTCCCCCGGCCCTCTGGGAAGTCCTCGAAGCCTTCCCCGAAGACAGGAAAAAGCCTTCTCCGCAGGCGCCGGGGCCTCTGAGAAGTCCCGCCGCCTTCTGAGACGGCCTTCTCCTTCTCACTTCCCCCCCTCGCTCGCCGCCAAGTACCCATCGGTCGTTGAAAGTAGGTATTTTTGGATTCCCAGAGTCCAATCTACTTCCAGCGCCTTCCTACCTCAAGAGTCGAGTGGCTCTCCCTCCTCCCTCCTCTCCAGGAGGCGGGGCGGAAACCCAATCTGTTTCCAACGCCTTCCTACCTCATGCTTCTACCTACTTCTTCCGACCGATGGGTACTCCGCCTCCGCCTCCGCCTCCGCCTCCGCCTCCTCCTCCTCCTCCTCCTCCTCCTCCTCCTCCTCCTCCTCCTCCTCCTCCTCTTCTCCTCCTCCTTCTCCTCCTCCGCTCCGCCCCCGCCCCCGCCTCCGCCTCCTCCTCTCCTCCGCCCTCCTCCTCCTCCTCCTCCTCCTCCTCCTCCTCCTCCTACTTCATGTTTCCTCCTGGCTCGGGTGAGCCCTGCGCCTCCCGCGGGGGCCGCTGCGCGAGGGCGCCCCCCCCGGCCCCTGCCGGCCCCGGCCCTCTCGGAGAGCGACTCCGCCTCTGGCGCGCCCGGCGCAGGGCCGCGGCTTCCGCGGCGCGTGCGCCTCCCTGGCAGAGCCGCGGGGTCCTGCCGTGCTGGCCTGGGGCCTGGGACAGGCCCTCCAGACAACTAGTCATTTTTTTTTTTTTTTATTTGTTTTTTTTTTTTTTTTTGTGAAAAAAAACAAAAACAAATTTGTTTGTTTATTTATTTATTTATTTATCTATTTATTTATTTATTTATTTATGTGTTTATTTATTTATTTATTGGTTTGTTTGTTTGTTTGTTTGTTTGTTTGTTTGTTTATTTATTTATTTATTTATGTATTTATGTATTTATTTATTCATTTTTTTTTTTTTTTTTTTTTTTTTTTTCATTTATTTAGTTATTTATTTATTTATTTATTCATTTTTTTTTTATCTATTTATTTATTTGTTTGTTTATTTATTTATTTATTTATTTTGATATATATATATAAACACATTTTTAATGTTTTTATGGTTTGACTATTTTTATTTTTTCGTGCAATATCCCCCTGCAGGGGGACCTGCCCGACCCAACACTTCGTGAGAAGGCCACGGCGTCGGGGGTCTGGGCTCGTGCCCTCCCGGGAAGGAGTCGAACGAGGCCGCGTTCCGGCGGGCCGAGGCGGACAACGTGGGGAACGAGGACCCGCCAGGAAGGAGGGGGGTCCTGAGGGAAGGCCGCGGGCGGGTCCTCCTCCTCCTCCTCCCCCTCCTCCTCCTCCTCCTCCTCCTCTTCCTCCCCCCCCTCCTCCTCCTCCTCCTCCTCCTCCTCCTCCTCTCCTCCTCCCTCCTCCTCCTCCTCCTCCTCCTCCTCCTCCTCCTCCCTCCCCCCCCTCCTCCCTCCTCCTCCCTCCTCCTCCTCCTCCTCCTCCTCCTCCTCCTCCTCCTCCTCCTCCTCCTCCTCCTCCTCCTCCCCCTCAAATCCCAACGGCACGGGTGGAAGTCTCACACGCTGGGTGTGAGATTCCAAGTGCACGTGGACCCGAACGGGTGAAATCCCAATATGCCAGGACCAGCTTCCAACTGGGTCCTGGGCCCCGGGGCTTTCCCCGCGACCAGTTCTTCACCCCGAGCCGTTTCTTGACGGCTCTGGGGCATGTGGGCGGCCCCGGGGGCTCGAAAACGTCGAAAAGCTGCAAGGCCCCCGACGTTAAACGATCGACCGAACAATAAACGACACCACCCTACCTGCGGCCCTCCATGTTGCGCTACGGCATATCGGGTGCCGCATCGTATACCGCGCAAAAACCCAAGCCAAAACGCATGGTATGTGCTGAGGCCCGTGGGGCCGTAGGTTGGTTGGTGTCGTTTGGTTTCTGGTCCAGACGATGCGTTTCTCCCAATGCCTGACCCCAAGGGTGCTGGCTTGATTCCTCGGGGTCGGTTTTCCTCCCAGCGGCTCCGTTTTAGTCAATACACTCGTCTCCCCACCACCATCCTGCTGCCCTTGCCGTCTCTCCTTTTGCACTGCCGTGTATTTTATCCGATTGCAGCTGTTTGGCTTAGAAGATCAGGAAAAAGGAGCGTGCCCGCTTTCGCGCGCGTCGGCCGGCGGGCCGGTTTCCTCACCTCAGGGATACTTGTATAATCAGCTTAACGGAACACTCCTTCCTTGCCATGGCTTCGGCGGAGCCCCCTGATCACGAGACAGTATTGGAACGTAATGCAGTGGCTATCAATGTCCAGGCAAAGCGCTGGTTATCAGCCGAAACGACGGCTCAGCCGTTGGCGTTGCTGGACATGGGATCACAGAAAAGAGCGTTCGTGGAAGTAGAACGACAATACCGCCCCGAACATATTTTCATTGAGGGTGCCTTTAGGGGGCGGCCTCTTTCTTTCAATCTTCCCAGACGGTAAGCATTGGAGTATGTGTTGGATTTGACAGAGGGAGACTCCCCTATACATAAGCAGATGGGAACAATATTTCAAACGTCAGGTGGAGGGCATGGCTCAGCCAGTGCTTCTGTCAGAAGGCCATCTGAAGTCGTATCAGTGCACTCAAGCCCGAGAGCGCCAGTCAACTCGAACCGTGGAGAGGTAATATCGCCGGGAAGTGTTCCCATCGGCGCGGAGGGTGGAGAACATCGTGGCGAGGAACACGTGGCACAGTTTGTCATGGCTGGGCAGGGCGAAGACGAGAGCGATGGACAGTCAGAGGAAGAGATCTTGCATTCCATGGAAAAGAATAAAGAGTATGCCCAATGCCATACGTCGCCTGGCCCATCACATCATCCGCGTCCTCTCCAGGGCGAATCTAACGGGCTCGCCTCAGGCGTATACCTGACAGATGCAGAGACAATTGCGCGCCGGCTGAGGATCTTCGAAAGGCTATGCTTGATTCGGATGACGACCTTGAGGAAGAAAGAAGCCCCGATAGCGGGGGGGTTGGACGTGGAAGAGGGAGTCCTTCGGCTCAGCCGGTAGCAAACTCGCCCGACGCCGCGCGTCCTGCTCGGCATGCGAGAGAACAGACGCGTGCGATTCCACTCCCGAAGATAAAGAAAACCAAGAGCGATATTGATGATCTTAATCTCCCACCGTTGTCGAAGGTTCTTATCGACAAAGTTCCGCGTCACCAAGTGCTGGTCATGGTTGTGTGCCAGAGCTTGATGGGCCCATTGCGCAATGCGAAAGGGATGAGCAAGCGCAGAGACAGCGCGACGCCCGGGGGACAAGAACGAGGGGGTCGAGAACGAGGGGGCGACATGCGCCGACAGCCAGCAGAAGTCGTGAAAAGGCTCCGAGAGCCGGGCGCTCCAGCACCAGGGGATTCGATGCCCTCGAGTAGCCTTGTACATTGTCGACTAGGAGCATCAGCAGTTTTTCTTTCCGGGACAGTTGCTGGGGCGCGGGCCCCAGATGCTGGCCTCGGGCGGAGAATCGTTGCCTGGGGAAAGCAGGCAAACCGGGGGGGTTCGTGTCGCCGATCTGCGCGCGCACAGTGTTCGAATGTGTGCCCGAAATGCAGTTTAGCGTGGCTCTGTGAAGAATGCATTGCGCTGGAGGAACATAGTTGCCGACGTATCGCCGTTCAGGAGTGGGAGGAAAAAACAGAAGCAGGATAGGGGGCAGCCGAGAGCAGCAAGTGCACGGATGCAACAAATTCTTCTACGGGCACATGCGGATAAGACGGCCGCCGAAGAAACCAGCCGCAAATTCGCTGAGTCTGAGGCAGAGAAGAGGGCAATGGCAGATAGAGCTGAAAAAGGAAAAAGGCTGCTATTGCAGAAGGCGCGCAGAAACGACTGCTGCAAGCGGAGGCGGAAAAAGCAGGGATTGTGGACGTGGCTCAATTGCGTCTTGCTCAAGAAGAGGAATAACGACGAATAATTCAGATTGCGGCCGAACGCGTGATTTCATCGCCCCACCTGCAGACCGATACTGAGCGAATGGAATTTCACATGATAACCGATGCAGCGAGACGGGAAAGAGAGAGAGAGAGAGAGAGAGAGAGAGAGAGAGAGAGAGAGAGAGAGAGAGAGAGAGAGAGAGAGAGAGAGAGAGAGAGAGAGAGAGAGAGAGAGAGAGAGAGAGAGAGAGAGAGAGCCCGAGCGCAGGCAGCACGAGAAAACCAGGAGCTCCGTAATCAACGCGATGCTGCCAGGCACGAGGCCGAAAAGATTAAGCTAGATGCGGCGCGAACGCTCCAGGGGCAGGACCAGAGAGGCCAAGCCCTAGGTCATGGAAATCAGAGAAGGATGGCCGAGGCCTGGAACCGCGCGAAGGGGTGCGCGGATCAACGGATCAAGAAAGATGCGCTCGTCATTCGTGCCGTGGGCGAAGAAAATAGAAGGCGAATGTCTGACCTAGAGCAACGCGTGACTGCGAGAGAGTCCCTAGAGGAGTTCCAGATAGCTAGGCAACTCGGCGCGGTAGCTGCGCCAGAGGACAGGCTTGCACCTGCGGCTCTGCCGGGTGACGCTGGGTCGCAGGATAGGGCCAATTCCGCGCCGGCTCAGCCGACGTGCGTTGAGCCCCTTCCGAGTCCGACTGTTGCTCGTCCAGTCCGAGGGGGGGCGGCCAAGCTGCCCGAACTCGAATGGGTACGCCAGATGAGCCATGTCACGTATGTTCGAAGCTTTTCCCTGGGATTTACGCGGGGTGTGCGAAACCCACATGCAGGGAACATCTGGGTGGAGGTGCCAAGAGGTGCACATGCGCCAGGATCAAAGAGTTCAGAGAAAAGACGATCCCGTGAGAAAGGCAGAACAGTTGTTCATACCTGCGACATCCACCGCAACAGGATCAAGGCAAATGAGACGGCGCCGAGACATTCGGATGGATCGGCAGAGATCCTTGAAAGGCGTCAGCTGCACAAGAAAGAGCTAGAAGATCATGGGGCCGAACTGGCAGCCATCAAACGAGATATCGCCGCTGCCGGAGCAGTTCAGGACAGGTTGCGGAGGACTGAAGAACGTACATCACAAAGGGACGCTGGATTGAAACAACAGGCGAGCAATTTCGCCGCGATCATGGGTGTGCCATCGTTCAAACCAACGGAGTCGGACTTTGATCGAATGCCTCCGTTAACGGCGCAGAATGTGCCCAGCCTTCCTCTCTCGAACACACGATTCATCCCAGGGCTGGCTGCGGAGAAATCCTTGGACCCGAATGAAGGTTCGATCCAGGAAAATGTTCAAGAGTCGAACCCTGGGGACGTTCCTTTCAACGCCAAATTCTCAGGGCCCCCGAACAACTGCGATTTACCTGGTTCCCTTCCCTTCGCCATCGGCACAGCCGTGTCTGGTGAAGGTGGCGGCGGACAGGGGGGGGGTGATAATGGTCAGAGGGGTGGCTAGAGTGCAGCGTCCAGCACCGGGATGATCGCGGCGATGCAATTCGACGAGGCGGGAAAACCTAAGCCGCCAAGCGACCCTCCGGGGGGGCCTGGTGATGGAGGGGGCCCAGGCGGAGATGGCGGTGGAGGGCCGAATGGTCCCGGCGACCCCGCGTTGCAGCCATGCGCTGCCAACTCAATGGGCCCCGATTGGAGAACCTTTGGGAATAATGAGGAGCTTGGCCTTATGGACATCCCAAGCGTCCAGACACTGCTAGAATGGAAACAACGCTGTATAAAGGGCGGTGGCTGGGTCTTGGCATGGTGTTAAGGCGGCGCAAGTGCGGATCATGGAAGCCATGGGCCCAGATATTCCCAAGGAGAACCTCCAGACAGCCGGAGTCTTCATGCGTCTTGATATGATGATTTCAACGAATCAGCTTGAGACATTTGCCGCCGTGAAGCGTAATCGTAATCTTTCTGTGCAGCATGCCCATTTCTTCTCACAAGCCAACCGCGTGGAACATTCGTGTCAGACTGAGCGACGCCTTCTGATGGGTCGTGAGATGATCCGTGCAATATGTGTTTTGTGTTCGGTTAAAGCCGAAAGCGGGCGGCACTGGAGATGCCGTGATCTCTCTACATCATTATCGGTCGCCAGAAGCCCAATCAGGACCTGTTTTTTCACATTGAATAGATGGAGCGCTACTAAGAAGTGTACGGCGCTAGAGAACCTTCGGTCGAACTGAAGGCCTCCATCCATGCCAATTTCTATGAACAGGTTAAACAAGCTCCGAGAGTCGAAGTGATCACGCAGTGGTCTGAAATATCAACAGACCCTCCCGGAACAGGAATGCGTTCCTACC